ACTGATTGTTCAGATATGAGATTTTTCGTTATAATTCATCCATTTATGTAGCTAAGCACATGAAATTTTGCACTGTGGTCACTCATTATCAGCAGAAGACTTACAGTGAAAATAACGAAGATCGGGTCACTATAGCCTGCAGCCCCTATACAACTGATTGTTCAGATATGACGTCTTTTATCATAACTCCTCCATTTATGCAGCTAGGAACATGAAATTTCGCACCATTTTCACTCATTATTAACAGAATACTTACAGTGAAAATAACAAGGATCGGGTGACTACAACATATATATTCCATACATCTGATTGTTCAGATATGGGATTTTACTGTAAAACTCCTTTATTTGAACAGCTAAAACCGCTAAATTTCGTAAGATATTTTATAAATAATAATACAAAGTCTACTGAGAAAATCGTCAAAATCTATGCTGTATAAGCTTTATCTCCTATAGCACTGATTGTTCAGATACCAGTTTTTGCGATATATCTCCTTTATGTAGGAAACTAAATCCAATAAATTGTGTTACCGGTTTACATACCGATCACATAGCAGTGAAAATCACTTAGATTGGTGCCATATAAAGTATATCTTCCATTACTCTGATTGTTTAGATGCGATTTTTTATATAAGTATGTAACTCCTCTATCGATGTATGCAGATGTATTCAAAATCAGTAACCTGTCAAACTAAAATTTGCAGATGTTCATGAAAGGTATGAAGCCTTCGGCATAGCCGGAGACAGCGCTGCTCTTACTTGTTTATTGTACAAAACGATATTTTCATTTCCCAATACCAGGCGCTTATACAAATGAATTCATATAAGTAGCGAGTTTTCTATACGCATACACAAGTTTATTTTTAGAACCTTTTAACATTGTATAGGCTTACAAGTATGGAAAGCGCCATTTTGTTTGTTTACATTTGAAAACAGCTGAGATCACCTGATTTTCAATTCTTTCATTCTCCGCACAGAGTTACATTCAAGTTTCAGAAAAAACTTTAAAATGTAAATTGAGAAATATTTTAGAAAAATGTGTTTTTATTCATTTGAATTCATTAAATAAGAAATTAAAAATGCATGCCAAGTCTTGCATTTCCAATAATAACGATAAATGTGTATGTTCCAGGCAATAATTTAAAATAATTGTGAAATTTATCGGTTTGCGCTAAAATACAACAATGTGTGTAAAATTCGTTGTCATTGTTTCTGTTTTGAACATCATATTCGTGCCTGCCGGTGAAAAAATTGGGTAGATTTGCTTTTATTTTTAAGAAACCATATGATTTAATATATATTTCTTTACAGAGCGACATACGGACAAGTAAGATGATCATCGTTTGAACAAATGGTTTATTTTCTTGTACAAGCAGCCGTGGCCCGAGCAGCGCAAATCGTGGCAGAGAATTATAAGTAATAAGTGAAACAATAGTGCGATAAGAAACTGGAGCTCGGTGAAAACTATAATTTACGTCTCCACGCAGAACGTACGCATGTGTGGGTGCATTTGCGATTGTGGCCTAAGCAGCGGCCCGAAAAACCTTACCAAACCTTTTTTTATTTTACGCTTACATCAACGTTATGCCACAATCACGTGCCGCCGCAGCTGCAGCTACTGGCAGAGGCCCACAGGCACTCGTAAAAATGTGCTACTATTTACTGGACGCAACACAAGGTAGCAGTAAAGATATTGGACCTCATGCATTAAATGTGAGTTTAAGCTCCAACTCGATTTTCAGTACAAATTCTTGAGCTTGAGCTCACCCCTTTAGTGCAAAAATTGAGTCTGACCTTAGACTCATTTTTTATGCATGAGGCCTATTAAATCGCATAAATAGGTTGGAATGGTTGGAAGTGGACCAACAACTTGCTGCCTTCTCGTCAATTTGGTTACGTGTGTTGACTACCTCCGGAGGCATTATGGATTTTGAGGAGGCCAGACGGTAACATTTGGGAGGCAAAATGCTTGGATTCTTATTCTAAGCTGGGCACTGGGTATTCACATTTTGGTTAGTGTATTGAAGCTATTGCAGCTGGCAAGAGCAACATGTTTATATTATTTTTTACAAAAATAAAAAGATGAAAGCCACTTAAAGTAATGAGTAAATTTGCGTGGAAGAAAATGAAGAATAAAGAAATTTGTATGATGAATATCGGGGAAAATCGTTTGCATCAAAATTTCTATTCAAATTTTTATTTGAATTATGACATCAACAGGGATGCTTTGAAACGTATCTTTTGAAGAAAAAATTTTATAATTCTTGTGATTATTGATATTTTCTAGAATTAAAAAAGCTAGTTCATATTAAAAAATATATTTAGACTACAAGTATGTAATGTACTTTTATTACGAACTGAAACGATTTTAATGAGTATTCATAGCTTCATAGCAGTTACATCAAAATGCATATTTGACAAGAAAGAGTATAGATTTTATTAATTATTTAGTGATATTTCAGCCAAATCAGTGTAGTGCCAATGACATGTAAACAAACCGTCTGACGTTTTTACAGGAAATAGTGCTTTTTGCGTTCCTATGCACTTCTGCATCTGTTCTCCTTTTACTCTCATTTGAGAGCGTAAAATTGTAGTTTGACAGTTCCACAGGTTTTAGTCCGAAGTTCAAAGGAACAGACTAATTTCTGTACAAAAAGTAAACAAAGCCGAATTGCATGTTAAAGGAAAATGCCAGAGCAGTTAATTTTCTTAATAAATTTTTCGATAGTAAACGGGTTTTTTAATTGTGCTAAATTCTAAAAATATATGATATACAATGAAAATTAATAAGGAAAATTTAAAAAAAACGGGAATTTTTGTGGAAGTATAAGTGAATTTCAGTGCATTTAAAGCTTCTGCGTCGTTTACTTTTAAATCAGAATTATCAAAATCGACAAATTCAAATTAGCGGTACGTCTTACGGTGCCACCTTTGTTCGCTGCATCGTGCATATTATGCACATGACGTTTTTAAATTCATTTTACATACATACATGTGTACCAGTCCAAGATGAAAAAAGAAACCTAAATTAGTAATTTTTTTATGAATGTAGTTAAAAAAGTTCACAGAGGAAACGCATAAAAATTTAGATGTCAACAGAATAATACCTACAATAAACAAGTAATTTTTAGCAAAAAAAAACCGACTTCAACTCCCATATAAAAAAAAATATATATATATATATCTCATGATCCGCTGATCGGATCTTAACCAGATTAGTATGGGACTACCTCTGAGACACTATCTTTCCGCTGCAAAAAGAATTATCGAAATCGGTTGACGTGGTCCAAAGTTATGCGGTAACATTAAAAAAAAATTAAATTAAATAAAAAAATCCGATGAACTGATAACCTCCTCCTTTTTTGGAAGTCGGTTAAAAAGCATCACTGAAGTGTGAGAAGGCTTTAAATGCCGTTTTAAAAAGGTCAATACATTTATAAAATATTTTGACTTTTGCTGGGTGTAGCTCAGTCAAAGTGCTATTAAAGAAAATAAAATTCTGAAAAGTAATAAACAGGAAAAGAGTGCACACAAAGTTAATATTTTTGAAATCGAATTTTGTATAAAAATGTCACTGTACAGAGCTATATAAATCTATTTTATTTTTTTTTAAATAAGGCCACTAGCATATACGTTTTTTATAAACGAATCTTGTAGCGTCACGCTATATAAATACATATGCACATATATATGTTTTGGCTGGCGAAATGTGTACTTATGTGAACTAAGTAAAAAGGCGTATGAGTAAATTTAACCACATTAAAAAGTTCTTAAATATTCAATGGCGCAACACAGCAACTCTTTTTGTTGCACGAAACCCTTGAACACGTGCCTGTCATCTATTTCTTCTGTTTCGACATTTCGCTATTTTGCATTTCTTTCATTTTGACGCCATTCGCATTGTCAGATTTTTGAAATTCGTTTTGGTCCGACATTCTGCTATTTCATAATTCTTTCATTCTCATGCCATCCATCTTCCATTTCTCACCTTCCATTGCCGTTCGCATCATCGAACGTGCCTGTCAAACACTGCCGCCATCATGCTTTTCAGTTTGGCAGGCACGTCCGCTGTTTGGCAGGCACGTCCGCTGTTAGAAAGAGAATAGACAAAAAGGGGCATAGGATTCCATACTTGTAAGTATATACGATGCTTTTAATTCGTTTGTAGAAACCTTTGAAACTCACAAAGCCGAATTTTTGAAATCTTAAAATGTATATGTACAAACAATTTTGTGCCTCGTACTGGGAAATGAAAATATCGTTTTGGATCAAATAAAAACTAAAGACACTACATTATCCACGTGCGCTTTATACAGAATATAAGCACTGGCTGGAGGAATATAAGACGCGCAGATAAAGATATCAGAGCTGACATGTACCAAAACGCAAAGTTTATCCAGAAGGGAATCCTTATTATCTAATAGCACAAGCGATGAGCAGTACCGCCGTTGAGCGGCGATTAGGACCCCTCCACCTCTAGCGAGCCCAGTGTTCGTTGTCTTTCGATCTTTGCGGTAAACATTATACGGATTGAAGCCAAACAATTCATTCTCACAGAAGTCCTCGTTCAATCAAGTCTCGATCAGTACGAAAGTGTCATAATCCATATGAGCGTTCATATTATAGATTTGGTCCTTAGACCAGACACATTTTGAGAATATATCTTCAGACGTTTTGAGTGAGTTTTATTCCCGGCAGTTATGTAGCTTGCGGTGGTACTAGAGGTGAAAGATATTTGCGTACCTGTGACTTTGTCACGGTTACTCAAAATTCACGGGTAACTGCTGTGACAACTTCCAAAAAGTCACCGTGACAGACTGAGGGAAAGGAACAATCGCAGAGATGTTTTTGTAGTTGGATTTCTATGAACTGTGACTGTGATAAAGTGGCAGTCGCAATTACTACCGAGAAACTGCGACCAGTGATATTTATCTTAAAGAAATTTCCTTATAGTGACAGGTTATTTAAGACCAATTTCTGATTAATGTTGTTTGATATTAGAATTTAATACCGTTAAAAGTGAATGTGAATGTTCAAAAAATCGGCGAAAATAGTCAGCGATGCCAAATAAGTGAATAGTGAAGTCAACTAGACTCGGTAAAATATTTCTGTTTTGCAACTTTTTTGTAACTGTTTTCGTCACAGTCAGGGATGAAAATCACTGTGACTGCAAAATCACAGTCACAAATAACGTTATTCCTCAAAAGTTACGAGATCGCGCTTCTCTAGGTGGTACGACATCTTAAAAAAAAACTGAATGGACGAATTCTTACATTCGTAGGCCATATATTCGCATTTAACAGCATATCATAATAACACTTAAAAACACCCAAATTAAAATTAATCTTTTTGAATTCCTTTAAGTGAGCATCCTTTTTGATCAGCATGTACAGCATGTACATAGCATAATTCAGTTGGGTTGTTTACACTTGCCTGTTTATCACGTTATCTGGTTAAAAATTATTATTCTGCAGTCTATGTTATTGTTGTAAACTTAATAAAAAAATATAACCACATAACCAGATAATCTGATAACCAGGCAAGTGTGAACAACCCAATTACTATATCATCTACGGTCACGGTGTTCGCGAATGAGGAAATGGGCAGCCACTTTTCAGTACATTTTTATTCAAAGCAAAATTATGAATGTAAGTAACAGATAATACTTGAAAAGGCCATAGAACTTATTTTTAACAATATTTTGGTATATAAACAAAATATGGTTCATAAAAAATAAAAGTGTTATTCATTTAAACATGAGTGTACACAGAAGCCAGTAAATTATATTATATTTACATATGACATTTTCCAAGAATTCTATGCATATCATTTTAGTATTACTTTTAATTTGTAGTTCACTTTAAAAAAATTTAATTAGAAGCCGGTTTCTCTCTTTGTGCAAGGAAGCAAGCTTTATAATTAAGATCCTCTCAGTTGCTTCGTTTAAGTATGGTATTGAAAAAAATGAATGTGTAACACCGTACACATTATAGAAGTGAAACTTCTTAAAAAAAGTCTGAGTACCAGGTAGTTACTCACGAAATTGGATGTGTAAACATATGTTTACGGTTCGGCAAACCATTAGGCGATTGAGTTACATACATAGGTTTGGTTAGAAATCAAACAATAATTTCATTTCATCTTATTAATTTTCTGATATACATATAATTTATTTATTCTTTTCCGGTAACACCACCTTATATGAATTCGCGCTTCTAGCATCCATAGGACCGGGTTGTAATGGAAGTAATTGTATGTTTAACAAATAAATGAAAATGTTTATAATGCAATCAATAGATCCTTACGAATTCGCCATTACGAAGGCATTAAGTAACGTACGCACTTTTGTTTGCAAAATGCATTTATTTAAGTTGAAAGAAGACAGATTCCTTTGTTCGGCATTTATTCTTACTCGCTTTCTATCTTCCACGCCGAATTCATATATTATTATCACGAATTCATATATTCATGTGTTAGCATGAGTATAAAAACATAAAATTACCTTATAAATTAAAGCATAAGTATCACATGTATGCGTAGTCCAATTCACGAAATCATTTCATCGATCTGAGTAAAAACTAAGTGCATAAACTCTATTTCGCGTTAATTGTAATCATGAAATGGTGTTCATTCATTCAGTTTCTACTCAAACGCATGAAATGATTTCATGAATTGGCCTACGCATAATGGTAGTAAATGACAGAATGAATTACAACAAACACATCCTTTTGACATAATGCAAGCCGAAAACGTTGGTTCAAATCAATCCGCATTGAAGTTGGACGTTTTGCCCACAAACATTTCAATTTTGCGAGCAGTGTCATTGTAAAATCTCATTTTTACCATTTCATAGTTTCGGCTTACATTTATAAAATTCAACGAAAGCACGTACCTTTTTCGGCTGAGTTATCCATTTTCGGTTATTTAGTGTGCAAAATAAACGCAAATTAAATGAGTTTGTACAACATGGCCATTAATGTAGCGATAAGTTGTACAAGTTGCCAGAAAATCCGATTTTTTGATCTTTCATACAACCAAGACATAAATTCATTCGACAGGCCCACAAACGGTGCAATCTAGAGCAAAACAACACCAAGTTGAACCAACGGTCTTTCTTGATATATATGTATACATACATACGTGCGTTCAAACATACATATATACATATGTAGGTACTCGTACCCGTCATGCGCCGCTTTATTTCTTTTTTCCCCTTCTCTATACTACCTATATCTTCCTTCTCACTCGTGTAACGTTTTCAGTTTTAAAAATTTCACTCCATTTTTGCGATACCGCCGCCTAAGAAGTTTCACTTCAAAAAACCAAATTAAATATTATTTCAAACTACGGAAAAGTACCACTATTTAAGGACTCCATTTATATATTTCATCATGCCTCCAATTAAATTTTTCAACTACGCAAAAACTTTGAAAGACTAAGAATTCGCTAAAAATAGTATCTAACTCTATGTCTCGTTTGCAAAACTCTTTCAATGTCAGTAAATTGTGAGAAAAGAATTGTAAGTTATAGGCAAATTGATTGTTCTTAAACTGAAAGTTATTTTCGAGATAACTAAGAACACACGAAAAACAAAGTCAGCCTGCATTTTGAATAATTTAAGCTTTATCATATTATCGCAACTGGTACGTAACGACCTGACGATAGCCCGTAAAACGATTGATCTTTTTGTTGTATTAATTTCTTAGCCATATCAAACATTAGTTGCATTTGTTTACTCATTTCCAGTAAAATCCAGTAAAAGTTTTTACGAATTTTCATGTTTTGGCGTTTTTGTACGCAAAAACTTGCAAGGTAGGGGAAATTGAGAGAGCGTAAAATGACAGTTGAAGTTGCAAGTTTTTACTGGATTTTACTGGATAAATTTTTACTTGTAAGAATTTGCCAGTACGAAAAACAGCTGATCGCATGTTGCTGGATGAAATTTAAACTAATAAGGAAACTGTTTGTGGGTTTTTATTGTTGAATTTCACAAAATAAACCTATTTAAATACAAAATACATTGTATTATTAGGAATTTGCCGCGAATAAACAACCAATTTATCAGCTGTTTATGAAACTTGCAAATTATTACTGGAAAAGCGTTCGCGTACAATTTTGCAAATTTTTTGTATGAGAGCGAATTCTTAGAAATAAAGTTACTGGAGAGTTGCTGGCAAGTTACTGGATAATTTGTAAAAAAACACAACTATTATCTGAAACATGTCAACTATAATTAAATTATTTTCTTCTTACTTTTTACAGTACAGTTTAAGGAAGCTCCAACGTTATGTAAAAACCTTAAGAAAATCCTAAAGTATTTTGTTTGAATTGAAAATTCAGAACAATTTCTGAAAAGTCAGGGCATTTTTGGAAATTCATGACTACGCATGAATTGTTCACACTATTTCACTCATACATAGTGTGACCAACCGTACTTCTTTCGGAAGTACAGTACTTCTTTCTGAGCCGTTGTACTTCGTACTTCGAAGTACAGTCAAATGTACTTCTTTGCAATGTTTTGTACTACCCAAGGCACATTGAATAGGTAGTATCAGTAGGGCAGCTGATTTGATTTTTGTCAAATTATTCGGTCTCTAAAATGTCAAATATTTTTAATTTCTTCCCACAAAAAATATAAATTGTCAAAATCTTTTTGCATGTGAAACCTTTTCCCATACAAAATAAGCGATTGAAAAGCAACGTTTGGAACGTTCGCCTAATTCCCCAGCACAAACGCTGATTACTGGGTCCTGCACATGATGGATCAATACTTCGAGAAGCAAACAAAATTTACTAAGAAAGAAAGTCGCACCAATTTTTTTCCCAAATTTAATATAATTTTACTCAAATTAAGAACAGTTTTTGACACTCTAGATAAGACAAGCAACAACAAAATACCCCTTGGTACTAACTTTTAAGTTGAAGTTTCTTTAACTGTTTCGCAAAATTTCACAAGGTTAGTCATCTCTTTTAAGAAAGGTACTCATAGATCAACACATAAATTATGACTTTCAATCATTTCACTTCTCTATGTAGCTGACAAATTTCATTACAAATGGCTACTCAATCAAGAAAAATCAAAAGGTGTTAGAGAGTTTAAAAATTCTGTGGCGAAACTTACTTGCTCTTGTGGATATTCCGAAACGACAGTATCGATGCCACAGTAAGCATTTTCTTATCCGGGCAACATATTAACCATTTATTTATTAACTATCGTACAGTGCTTACTTTTTGGACACGAAATTGCTGAATCCTTCAATGGGTTTTGATTAAACTTACACCTCGCAAAATAGACTATTATTGTACTTATCTTAATTATTGAGTCTGGGGAGAGTTTTCGACCTTCTCTAACTCGCAAAAGAAATTTGAAATAATCTCACATATACAGCGTGGCGACGAATAACTGTTATCCAGGTTTTTTTTGAGAAATAAAAGGGTCCTTTATAAATTTTGCGAAGAAAGTATTTTATTGTTCATTTTCCACAGATTTTACTTTAGCTTTAATAATTAGTTTTTAAATTTTAATCCTTATTTACATCTGCCAGCAGAGTAAACTTTGAGAGAAAAGTTCATTTGGCACGCAGGTCTTCGTCAGTTAATTTATTCCATATCTTCTGTAACCATAGGCTAATTTTCTCCATTTTGAGTCCCTTATACTCCCCCTTTTGTCCAACATAAGGCCTCATTCTCAAAAATCGAATAGACCCTGAACTGCTGACTGGGACGGCCATTCATTCGATCAACCCTATACAGTTTTCTTTTTTTTTGTCTTTTTTTATACAAAGCCTTTGAAAAAAATACACCTGGAAAAGGCTTGCGTGCCAAATGAGCTTTCCTCTCAAAATTTACACTCCTGGAAAATGTATATACGGATTAAAATTTAAAAACTAATTAATACAACTAAAGTAAAATCTGTGGAAAATTAACAATAAAATACTTTTTTCGCAAAATCTATAAAGGATGCTTTTATTTTTCAAAAAAACCTGGGTAACAGTTATTCGTCGCCCGCTGTATTTAAAACAGTTCGTCGGTAGTGATTTTTTTAAGTTTTCTAGCATTTAAAATTATATACATATATAAAATTTAAAATAAATTAATTGAATTGTTCACAAATATTGTTCCCAGCATACCAGCGGAGTATTTTCTATTAAATACATCTGAACAGTTCTAAAGTTAGAAAAAAGTAATTTCTTATGCATTATTGTTTACCTCTAAATGCATTTGAAACTGCCACAACGTCAACAGC